CGGGGGGGGGGGGGGGGGGAAAGGTTTCACATAAATCTTTGGCTAGGTAAGAAGGAATCATTGTAGAATAATGAAATTTTGCCAGCCTTTGGATAATTTCTTTGGAACACACCATGCAAATTTTCATAATTAGGCAGTAGTCAGCGTGTTCAATGAAACCATGCACAAATGTGAGGCAGCATGGTGGAATCAGGCTCTCGTCAAAATAATCAAAGTGAAGAAACTGGCATTTTTCCGCAGATTTGAGAAATTGTTTCGAATTTTTGGGTTTTAGCTCAACACCTTGCATGCCCATTAAAGAACTCTTTTCTGTGTGGATTTGACTGGAAAACGTGGATTGAAGGCACGAAAATTGTAAATTTTCAGTTACCACGGACTCTTAAGTTAAGGAAATAACTAATTTTTGGCAGCCTTTTTCTCACTAATTTTACCTCTGAAACCAGGTGACCCCAACCTCCTTCATTTGCAAATATCTCGACTTGTATTCAAGATAAATGGATATGTTTTTTCATCCAAATAAAGACAAGTAAACAAGCTTTAAGATTATACCAATAAGTCTACATGCCCAAAAAGTGACGAGAGCCTGATTCCACCACGTCGTGCCACAAATGTTAATTGCTTTTCTTTGCTGAAGCTGTACCGTGGAGCTTGTTCAATATCCCTCAGTCTTCCGCACACGAGGATTCCACAGATGTTTATTGTCTTCATTTTCTGTGTTTTTCGTACGTGTGTTGCTAAAATAAATGTATTGGTTGATTGCATTTATTCTTTTATGTTTTATATGTACCGTAATGAACAGAAAACAGTTATCCACCCACTCTTGATATTCTCTCACTTCATCTGACTCACTTTGAAAAAAAGTTCCGTGAGTCCTCCATTTGGGGAATAGAATCAAACACTGCCGCGTACACACACACACACACACACACACACACACACACATACACACATACACACACATACACACACATTCACTCACTCACTCACTCACTTACTCACTCACTCACTCACTCACACATACACACAAACACACACACACACACACACACACACACACACACACACACACACACACACAGACACAAACACAGAAAAAACACAACGATAAGTCAATGCAACAACCTTACAAGAAAAAGTTTTCGACAGTTTTGCTTCGATTTATAGTTATATTCTTGTTGAATAATAGTACTCTGACAAACACCTGACAGTGATGTCCAAAGATCAGGCACCTATTTAGCTCTTTGCCAAATCGGCGCCCTGTTACCAGGAAGTGTTGTCAAAATAAAAAGAGGACTAAGGACCTTACATGGATCCGACTGTAAAACTCTTTGGAGCAAATATTTACTTTACCCCTCAATACAGAACGTACTTGACCTACTGCGCCCAATTATGGTCTCCACCTTCAGAATGACAAAAGTGACATTATACGCCAAAGAGGAATTTAAACTGACTTTAAAAACTCAAAAGAGCCAGGATACAAGGCCAGGAGCAAACCACGCAAAAGTTGGCTGGGTGGCGAGAAAGAGATCCTCCAAAAGAATAACATAATATAAACAAAAGAAGCCACCCTCCTATGCCTTGGCTGAAAATAGAGCACCTCCCCTCGTCAAATAACGAAGCAAGGGGAAGGATAAAGTAAAGTAAAGTAAAGTAAGAATGGGGGCTGAAGTAGACCGTTATTGTGTGATGGTTGTATTCCTCACAAACAACGTCACGGTAGCCACAATAATACATTTACGCCAGAGAAGCAATCGCATAAATGGAGGCAGAGAAATAAAGTCCAGTTCTTTTATGAAGCCACCGGAGAACTCCTTTCATGAAGCCATGAAACGTACATGTCTAAAGAGAGCCAGACTTGTCTTGCCACTCTAGAAGAGAGTCTTCTCTGAAAGAGCCTTTTCAGTAATCTTTAAGCCCAGCTGCATTCGCTCAAAGACGTCTTATTTGGAAAGCCGTTGAACGGAAGAAGAATAAACGGGAAATGGAATGAGTAAGAAGAAGGAAGAGATAAGGGGTGAGGATTGGGGCGGGGGGGGGAGGAGGATGAAATGGGAGGGGGGGATAAAACAGGGGGTGGATGCCACTCCCACAGTGTAGTTTAATCTTGTCTGATTTCAGCGCTGAGACACCGGAAGATCGGGAGCTGGCGAAGACAGAAAGCTAAAGGATGAGTAGTGATGACGCTCTGGATCGGAGAGAGACTAATGGCTTAGACACAAGGGTAAATAACGGTCCCTTGGGGGATTTGCTGAGATTGAAATCCAGCTGCGTTGCCACCGGTTTGGTGACTGTGAGCTGGGAGCCAAGAACTTGTCCAGCTTTACTGTAAAGAATTTATAAGTAATGAAGGCCACCATTTTCTATAATGTATTGCGTTTATCGTCCTACGTATACCCCCCCCCCCTATCCAAACATGCACACCGATACACACACACACACACACACACACACACACACACACACACACACACACACACACACACACACACACATACACACACACATACACACATTTTCCACCTGAACCTACACTCCCCCACCAAAAAAAAAAAAGAATCTATTAAAGAGAGTATGGGGACCTGGAGGTAACAAATAGGAAAAGGCTTTTTCCATACACTTTATGTCCTCTGGAGGTAGTTTCTACAGTCACAGTAACAGTTCATTTTGTTCCAATAATTGTGTGTGTGGTGTGTACCCTTACTTCAACACTGCGTAGATAGTGAGATCTATACCTTCTCTTTCTTCTTCATCTTCTTCTTCTTCTTCTTCTTCTTCTTCTTCTTCTTCTTCTTCTTCTTCTTCTTCTTCTTCTTCTTCTTCTTCTTCTTCTTCTTCTTCTTCTTCTTCTTCTTCTTCTTCTTCTTCTTCTTCTTCTTCTTCTTCTTCTTCTTCTTCTTCTTCTTCTTTTTCTTCTTCTTCTTCTTCTTCTTCTTCTTCTTCTTCTTCTTCTTCTTCTTCTTCTTCTTCTTCTTCTTCTTCTTCTTCTTCTTCTTCTTCTTCTTCTTCTTCTTCTTCTTCTTCTTCTTCTTCTTCTTCCTGTTAGTATTATTATTATTATTATTATTATTATTATTATTATTATTAGTATCAGTATTAGTATTAGTATTAGTATTAGTATTAGTA